CATCAGGAGGTTTGGGGTAAAGGCAAAGAATAACGTCTGGTCACGGACAAGGTGACTCACGACTGTGGTGTTTACTTGAGGCAGGGTCACGACCTGTGCTGCTGCTGCCGCCGCCGCCTTAAGTTCGCCAAGTCATCCACTACCAACAATGAGGCACATGTGCACAACACTCTTAAAAGTCAGCATACACTCTCGTCTACAACATAGTTCACACATGTACAGCCACACGAAACATGTACAGTACACAATCCACTCTCCCACAAATGTACTGTACATCTTATACAATAAACAATTTATAGCTTTAATGCCTATATCAAATTTTACATAACTTTTTTACAATTATTCATTATTGATTAGGCCAAAAGTCTCCATTACCCTTGGGATATTTGGCCACCAGTTCCTTCACGTGTGTGTGTGTGTGTGTGTGTGTGTGTGTGTGTGTGTATCACCTGTAAGACTTGGCAGTACAGTACTGCAGGTATGAGGGTTGTGACGGAGTTTAGGATCAGGCATCAGTATCAGGTCTGAACACTCATTTATGATCATCTCTGTCCTCATCAGTCAAGGGACCTCTTGGGGGTAGGCAGGGTGCCCCCCATCCTAGACCTGGCTTGCCCCTCCAAGGAAAATTGTAATTATATTCCTTTTTCATATCGACGAATTTGGATTTGGTGAGAACATCTTAATGGTATTTTTACTAAGCATAATTAAACAAAACGATAAGTATTCATCTATTTTCATCGTTCCCAATTGCCTATGATTTATAAACTGAATAATAGCAAGGAAGTAAGTCATATTGCTAGCAGCCACACGGTGTGGATCTTATTACAGCCACGAAAGCAAACCTTGTTAAAATGAGATCTGATAGTGACTATGATCAACTGTATGAGGAAGCAGAGGAGTTTGCAACCAAACTCGGCATAGTTGTTCCAGGGGCAAACACTCAACAGCATGAAGGATCAGTTCGTAGCAAAAGAGTGCAACGAATATCAAATACTTTGAAAGATATCTGTCAAACAGCATCCTTGGGAAGCGTTCAAAACATCTAGAGAATGTTCAGAGAAGCAGCTTAAAAGACCAATTAAAGTCAGAGTTGTACTTCTCATTAATTGACAGGTACACAGCTGAATATGATCGGAGGTTTAGCAATAACATTGATCTTCTGCAGTCCATCCCCTCTTTTGATGTTCAATCTCAACAATTCCTTGATGAAGAAAAGCTTGCTTTATTTTCTAAACATTACAGTGCGCACATTGATTCAGTTATGTTATCTTCACAACTGCATTCTGCGAAGGTATTCTTAGATCAGAAGAAGCCTGAGGACCTATTTGATGTGTACCAGAATCTAAATGCTTTACCGATTGCTTTTTCTGAAGTACTTAATTTATTACGAATACTATTGGCCATTCCGGTTACTACTGCGGGCAATGAAATATTTTTTCAGTGTAAAAACGCGTTACAGATTACCTGAGAACAACAACGGGTGATGACCGCCTTTCCAGCCTACTTTTAATGGCGAATGAACAGGAAATGGTTAAATCATTCGATACGGAAGAACTGGCGGATAATTTTGCTCGACTGAAACATTGCCGTTACCCTCTGATGCAAGAACAGTTAATAACCACTAGCTGTAGACTGTGTATGTCAAAGATGTCTCCTATTGTGAATATTCTGATTTGTTCACTGATGATTTCTTTATTATTTAGTTTTGTCACTATATTAGCTGATACAATTATTTGGTCAATAATCCAAGAGTTGTACTCTAGATATTGGTAAAGAAAAGTTAACTTTGCTGGTATCGTATTGTTTTAATAAAATTAAAAAACAATATTGGATTTATTTATCATAGCCGTCTTACTATACTCTATTTAATGACAATTTAGTAATTAGTTATGCAGTCACCACGTCAAAGGTTTGCGAGGTCAATGCCAAATACTATGGAGTAGGATTTTGACCCCAACTCTTTGCAGTAGGATTTTGACCCCAACTCTTTGCATGTAAATGGTGATGCCCCCCCTGCCCCTGCATCAGTCTATCTACATGATAAACTGCGGACGCCACCTCAGTGTTTCTTCATGTGGTAACTCATCATTGATTATGGAGTGGCGATTAAAATATGCAAAGTATAACTACTATATTTTTTCACGTCATCTTACAGAATAAATAAACGTACATTCTCCTCCTCGGGACCACCACCATAAAAAGGTAATACCCTGAGGGGGATTTCTTGACTATAAAATAAGAATAATATTTACACAACTAAAGTCAACAGAGAGACTTGGAGCCAAAACAATGTAATGTTTGGAAACTGTCAACCTACCACCGCCACCACTACTATTATTAATGCTGCTACCACCACTATTGCTACCAAAATTACCACCACCACCACTGCTGCTGCTGCTGCTGCCATTATTGCTCTCACCATCACCATTGCTGCTACCACCACCACCACTACTGCAGGTGCTACCACCATTATTGCTACCAACGCCACCATTACCACACCACTGCTACTGCTATTACCATTATTGCTATCACCACCACTACTGCTGCCGCTATTACCACTATTATTGCTACTACCACCACCATTTCCACCACCACCACCACCATCCAACATCACCACCATCATTACGTAACACAACAGAACCTTTCCTAAGGCAATAATACTTTCTTTAGTTGAGTAATAAGAAGTACTGTACAATCGTGACGAGTTTGTTAATACAGTTCAGTATAGGTATAATAGGTAGCTTTCCCTGACCACCAACACACTTGGACTAACGAACAAGGCGCTCAGATACACTCAATAGACTTTGTATTGTACTTAGTGTTAGACATTATTATGAAGCACGATGATTCACGCATGAATGAACGAATATAGCAAAATATTTGGTATTCTTATAATGTTCTTAATCTTGTATCAACACTGTTATTTCTGAATAAACTAGATACAGCAGCAGCAGCTGTGGTAAGAAAATGAAGTGTGGTTTCTTTGTCAAGTAAAGGGCACACCTGGCGTTGGCTCCCTGCTGCATGACACTGTTGACATTTTGTGGGATGACTGAGGCAAAACAAAGCTCCATCCATAGTATGAAGTGTACCGGAAGTGGGAGTAACTCAGCTGTTTGTTCTTTACTATCGCCTCCTCTGCCAGTCCCTCCACACTCAACAATAAAACAGTACTGTTCTCAGTCACACCTGCCTCCCCCACGCCCTCCCTCAACCAGGTGACGCAAACACTCATCACAACAACACTTACATCACACCTGCTGCTGCTACCTGTGATGATTAAGGTGAGTGCCAAGGCAAAGTAGACCCCCATGAACGAGCGCGTACACACACACATACAAACACACACACACATACATAAATAATGGCTGCCCCTCGTGTTCAAGGATGGCCGGCCGTAGGGCCAACTAGGCATGAACTTATTTAAAGTGTAGAGGCTGTCGCGAACACAACAACCACACCCTAAGTTAACGAGCTGCATGACCCAGAGTCAAGGAATAATCCGAGAAGACCGGACAACTCGCCAACTGCCCAGGGATCGAACCAGGTCCATTGCTTTGTGAAGAGCATGCTGACCATTACACCACATAATGTAATCACACACACACACACACACACACACACACACACATCCTACCCTCTGACCAGACGCCTTGGGCCAAGACCCTCGTCCTTGAGACTCCTCCCTCCGTCACCCCTGACGTAATAATCACACAGGAGCGCCAGCAGGAACCTGTGTGATAGTTTACCTTACTAGCACCACTCATGACATTACTTCCTCCGGACACACACACACACACACACACATAAACTAATACATCAACACTAACTACACAGTCCCCTCCAAACTTCAGAAATTTGCACATCTCAGCAGCTTCCAATTCACCCGGATCTTTCTCACAAACCTTATCGACATCATCGACCAGACGACCACTACCCACTGACGGGTGTTAACCCCTGGAATACACTGACGCTTATCAACAGACAAAAGAAAGGTGTTCATCACAGCCCAAATAAAGCAGAATTATAAACCCTGACATAATACCAACACTTTAGCTACGTTCTCCAAAGATAAGCGAACAATTCTTCTCTAGCCAACAACAACATATAGAACACACACACCTCCCCCCTCACACACCTCAACACCTCCCCTCCACACACACCTCTCTCGCACACACCTTCATACACCTCCCCCTCCCCCTTTACTCTCTTTTCCCTTCCACACCTCCCCTCACACACACCTCTCCCGCACACACCAGCCTTCATACACCTCCCCCCTCCACACCTCCTCTCGCACACACCCTTCACGCCTCTCCCACACACCCTTCACACACCTCCCCCTCAAACACCCACTCAACACACCTCCCCTCACACACCTCTCCCTTTTACACCCTTCCCACCTCCCCCCTCACACACCCTCTCCCCCACACCTCCCCCCTCCCACCCTCTCCCCACACCCCTTCACACACCTCCCCCTCCCACACACCTCTCCCCACACACCTTCACACACCTCCCCCCTCACACACCTCTCCCGCACACACCCTTCATACACCTCCCCCCTCACACACCTCTCACACACCCTCAGTACACCTCTCCCCCACACACCCTCAACACATCTCCCCCTTCACACACCGTTCAACACACCTCCCCAGGCACACACCCTCAACACA